TCAGAACCATTTTTCCAGCTCTGGACGGTAAGAAGAAGGCCTCTGTAAATGTTAATACAGTGTTATCTTTGTAATCAGACTGAACCCCGTAACTACTCAATTTTAAAACCTTGTCAAATACATACATAATAAGAGAAAAGATAGAGAAGAAAGATAATAAAAATAACCAATCAGTAAGATGAGAAAAATAATTATACGTTTTATTAAAAAATAAAACACTATTGTTCTATCGCATTAATACGTATTCTAAAATAAAATAACTTAAAAAACATTGATAATGTTTGTAATTACAAACAATCAGATGCTCATTTGTCAGATAATCATAAATCTGCAATATTCAAAGAGTAATCATCTTCTTCGTAGTTTTACTATAAAATTTAGGTTTTGAGTGGTTATGCGTATTGTCATATCGGATTACTTCCCCGCGCTTGTTGGTACGCGCTGATGCTCTGCAATTAAGGTTCTTCCTACGAGAACACACCCAGTAGCTTGCAGGTGATTCAGTAAACGAAAACCCATCGAGGACCAAGTTCTTTTTACCCCTCCCAGTCGGTATATACGCAGCAGTTAGCTTGCCTACAAAAACCACAGGGATATAATAAAAGTACTCGAAAACTTCTTTTCAACATTCTTCACAAAGGAAAACCATACAATAATGCGAAACCCCAAATCTTCAAATTTTTATTCCAGTTAAGTAAGTACTACAAAATGTTTGAAAGATTCAATTAATAACTGAACTAACTAATATACGTAGAGAATATAAAAAAACTATGACATAGTATAGAAAAAAACAAAAGGACTTTATATAACTTTATGTAAACAAATGATCATGAAGGATTAATAAAAAATACGATTTATTTAAATGGCTGAGCCCCTAATAAGCAGTATTTCACGATGAATAGTTTATTAATAGACATCAAATAGATCAATTTTAATGCAATATAGCGAGCACTTTCTGACATAGAAAAGTTACACGTCATTTGTGATCATGCTTATCATAGAATAACACTACATCGGTGTCAATAGTATAAATGTTTGCCGGGCACTTCCCACTAGAATGAGAACACTTCCATCTAGTCTTGCCATTTGGGAAGTCCCTATCCTTGACGAAAGTGAATTCGCCAGTAGATATCACTGGGCCTTGTCGTCGAGATGACCTCCCGAATTTGAACTGCGACATCTCCGACTTCCGACCTGGTGAAGGGTTTTATTAAACAACATGCGTCTGTGATACTAATACTACAAGTGCACCACTTTCGTAACAAGAGGTACCTCTTGTTATCATCATTAATATGATGTACCGGGTTGTAAGATCAATTGCGGCAATTATTCATTGAAAAATATACATACATCCGTAAGGTGTTAATTGAAATAAACAAAATTATATTTCAAATATAAACTTTAATGATTTAAACCTTAGGAGTAATACTCTCGATAAAAGTAACGATGTCTTTCAAATCGATATTTATAAACATAATATCAAAATTACTGTATAATTTATATAATAATTATAAACTACAAAGAGCACAGCTAAAATTTTCAGTAGGGAATGTTCAGTACATCAATTATTTTAATTGACAATATATGGTCCCATTGTTATACACAAGGCACTTTTACTTAAATTTAGGATATAACGTCCGCCAAATATCAACGAGTAATAAATACTTGAGTTTTACAATCTTACCATAAGTACATAAAACATTTAACATTAAAACTATATATATATCTGTATAGTAATGATCGAATCTTATCACAAGTCGGCATTGTCAGTGCATGTCAAGTTGCTACTCAACGTTTTGTATCGCTCGTAGACAACTTTATAACAGTGCCGATGGAAACATCACTCGATTGCGTGATCAACTTTTTACAGCTCGACGAGCATTAAAACGTATCAATTAAAACGATAGTGCATAACTAAATATCTATACATTCCGATAATACATTAACAGGGCAGGTTCAGTTCATTAGAGTACAACACATTTTAAATCTATGGAACACTTTTACTTACCAAAGCACCAGAAGTAAGCGATAAAGGCGGCAGTACAATATTATTCATGGAATGGAATCGACGTGGTAATTGATAGTCCTGGACAGTACCACACAATCTTAACTTTTATCTTAACATCTATATACTTATATAATAGTATTATTGTCTAAATTGCTTGAATATACCTAAACTAAATACACTACATTCAGTGCGACGACGAAAAGTAATGCTGTTTCATATACAGTAACTTATACAGGGTCTTCATTCAATTTCAGGCGACTGCAGCGCAAGAGCATCGAGTGTCGTGACTGGGACAGTTAGAGAAACCGAAGTGGAACCCGGCTCGACGCCCTTGCGTGCGTTGGGTCGCCGTGGAGGCAGGCAGACAGCGCGCGGCGGGTGATTGTGCATGCCCTTGACTGCGACCACGTTGGAGCCCAGCATATGTATTCTTGCTTTGCAATTCGTCTTCTTGGAAGTACACCGCCATATCACTTTCTCCCTCAACTTGGACTCCTCGCAGAAGGGAAACGTGTTTACCATCATGATCACTTTGCCGCGCCGCGACTTGAGAAACTTAATACCTGTGGGAGAAGCACACGTCAGAGAACTGAAGTAAACCAAAATTACGTATGACCCCAAACCGACAACCACAACGTACACCCAGGTGAATCGGGAATATAGCGAAATGAAACTAGCGGTTATTTATAAGTACAATTTAATATGATTTCACAAAAAACATACCCCGTACATGAACTAAAAATCTTATGATATAATGGTATAAGTATAAAATTACACTAATTATTATAATTATATAAGACTTGTATATGAGTAGTAACACTTTAGGAGTTTTTGAGGTAGATAGATTAAATAGGAGTGTTCGATGTGCGGTACAAGACGAAGCCGTGGCGGTAGGCTCAACAAACAACACACGGTTATCATGCACTACCTACGAGATTCATAATATTAACAACATGAGCAAACATAGAAACAGCACGTGACTCCATAGTCGAAACATACAAACATCGAAAAACGTTGCAAAATTTAAGGAGAGCCAATAAACGCGAGGTAAATATTGCGTGAATATAAGAAACAATATTTACAGCAAAAGATGTCGTGCACCTCCTCGCGTCTCACGACAGGCATAATACATAAAAACTCATAACTCGTATCTTATATAATTGACGTATATTGTCATTGCTCTAAAATATATTATACATATTAAACTTACAATTATTACATGTAATAATTACACTTACTACTAACTATCGCCACGGTTTCATAAAAACGTATATCGCCCATAGTATTTGGCTTAGTGACAGTAATCAGGTACGATAGAGCGTGTCAAACGATCAACACTGGACAGCGGACGGCGAGGCTGCGGACGTGCCCAGCGGCATTCCATTCACACAAACCACACAGATTAGTAAACGCTGGGACACGCTCCTACTGCAGCCTCGCCTGCAGGACTGCAACTACTGCAACATCGATATACCCAGTACTATGCAGTGTTCAAAATTTGCCACGGTCTATAATAACACTTATAAAAAGTTGACAATATTATGTAAATTCACACACATTAGACCCCGTAGAACTAAGTCATCTAAATAACAATTAAAATTAGTAAAAATTTGTACTTAAATCAGAGTCATACATACAAAGCGGTTCATCGTTCTCATCGCCATCGTTCTTGAATAAGTTATCTTCCGACGAGCAACAAATTAGTTACAAAACAATTAATAATAAAATATATTCAGACAAGTCTCAAAAAGAGCCTATTAAATTTTAATTAATTTAAAGTCGTTAACAGTGAACGAACGTGTAAACTAAGTAAAGAGGTAGTTGAGTTTCGATATAACTAGAGGTAGTGCGGCGCCCCGGACCCTGCGCGGCGAGCCGCCCCGGCGCGCCAGTTCCTACGCTAATGCTAACCTAAGGCTTACGCTACGACACCTTACTCGAGTAAAGCTTCTGAGTATTCATTCTTGTATAAAATTGTATAATTTAAAATTTAAACTAATATGTAAAACCCGTATAAAAGTGAAGAGGTAGATGATTGAGCTTAAGTACTTTTTAAATCAATCCTAAAGAGCAAAACGTTGGTTGCTCGAATCAAGACAAATGCCTTTCGAATATCTACTGTAAATTCTTATAGATTAAAGAGGCGGACATCTAAATGTCTAAGTAGCAATAAGTATCTGAAAAGTGTAAATTTTATAATTCTCAAAATAAATTAAGTAATTCTAAGTACAGTCCAGGGGACGTCATATTGCTTAATTTCGAACGAGTTTTCTCTAAATCAGTCACCGACGCGTTGCCAGCGACCACGGCGTGGCCGCCGACCTTACCTTGCACTCGTGTCGACAGCTGACTCGGCTGCGTTCGCATGGCGCACCAACCTGCCCTGCCTGACATGACCAGCTGTGAATATCGCGCAATGTCCGCCTAGCGCTACTGGATGATACTGCATACTGCACGGGTCGTAATCATTAAATCAATCAAACGCTAAAGCGGCCCTGCCTGTCTAAACCTGACATCAATACGAGCTGACACCGTTATACATTCAGAAGTTCTTACATATATAACATCCTTACTAGCTCTATTCGATTCGATAAATAGCCCACACCTATACGGATAACTTTATAGATCTCGACGAGACCGTCTAACCTATTACGACACGACGGACGTGTTCACTCGTATTACTGGTCGTCTGCTGTGTTCCCGTCACTGGTCGTAACATCCAATACACCACAACACCTACTTAATGCTGACATACATTCACATAACCGATACTGAATAACCAACAATAGCCTTCGCTGAATCCTAAGTAAACGACACCTTATCCCCTCATACTTAACTAATCATATTTAAATCTACATCCATTATGCTACATTCGCCAAAAGGCGGTTAGAAAAAAATCGAATACTCGATTACCATTGTCAAAATCGCTTATAAATTAGTCGTGAACTCGTATTAAAATCGATCGATGTTTGTGTGACGCTTGTGGTACAATTTAATCCTCCTCCTTGCATGGGGTATCAACGAGGAGCGGTTTCGCGGAGTTGGTGTGCTGTGCCGAGGGCGGCAGCGCGTTAGGCGAAGTCTGCGTGGGCGGACCACCAGGTGCAGCGGTGCCAGCGGCCGAGGCGTTGGCAGTAGCCGTGGCGTGGGCCGTGGCAGCATACAGCGCCAGCGCGTGCTGCAGCTGCAGCAGCTGATGGTGCGGATCGAGCGGCGCAGGCGCACGGTGGCCCGACTGGTGCGGCGTGCGCACCACGTAGCGCCCGTCTGCGAACCGGCGCACGTTGGGCGGTGCGTGGTTGTGCGCATAGCGCGAGCGCACGATACGCTCGTGTCCTTCTGGGCCCTCCGTGTTTACGTCGGCTAGACAGCGAGATGTGAGTCGCGAGGAACAGTACCATTGCTTTCTTCCATGGGCCAAGTTATTCTTCAAACGGAAAGTGTAACCACGATGAAGCAGAAGACGCCCTTTGCCGGCACGGATGAAGCGCGCTAAAAAATACACTACTGTTAGTTTATGATTCGGTAAAATTCATTAAAACTTATTTATAGTTTGATTTCCACGTAAAGTCCGACAGACCCTTAACTTGGAAAACCTAACTTATTAAAACTAAGCATGCAATCATAATTCGGGTTACCCAAGAGTACTAACTCTATTTAAGCAATAGGAGAAGGAAATAAAACGACAGTCAGTGTGTATAGTTTAATCCATCATGTAAATAAAAAATTGCTTGTTTTTATAGATTTATTTAGCACATTTACACATACAATGGGTACATTATTTATTACGGAGCTCTTGCTTTAAACATTATTTACAAAAGTATTTCCATAAAACAAGAGTTTCGAACGTGACATAGAGGCATTTCTTATATTTTTCTCTTTGAGAAATTATTACTTCATGAGCAAGACAATTTGGCACAGACCTTTGGCATAACAAGTCAAGGAGCAATATTTTTATGAAGCAATTTCAAAACAATAACAACAAAAATCAAAATAGGAAGACTATAATTTAACTAACACTATGCTCACTAGTAAGTACTTATATTTTCTATGAGGTAATTCGATATTTTAAAAGAACAATAAATTATAGTAAATAACTATTTAATTATGAACAACATCCTACAGACAATTGTAAATTTAGACACTAATTTATCCTATCCTAACAAAAACTGAGATCAATGTATAACTAAGTAGTCACATGAGCTTATTATCACAATCTTTGGCAATTAAAAGATGCTACAAACTATCCTGCTAACATCCACTGCAAATTTGAACTCAAACAAAAACGTCACATACATACATAGACGGCACTATTAGACCACTACCCATCAAATCTATTCGAGTCTTCTACATTAATATATGTAACAATAAATTTGATCAAAACCATTTACTTCTAGAATCATTCATGAAGACGAACGCGAGTTCCAAGAGTCGGAACATTGGAAACCGCCAGCTACTTTTTGATATGGGGCTAGCAACGATACTACGTTAATATGCGATACTAATAACGCACTACCCAAGCATTCGGGTCAAAATTCTGGAGACGAGGAACCAGTAAGGGAGTGGGAGGTGAGGTAGACGAGGAACCTGAAATTGGAACTGATACAGTGATCTGCGTAGGATTTATGTTGGGGAGCCGTCGTCCGCACCGGCCGGCGTGGTTGTGCTCGCCGACTAGTTTGTGCAGCGTGCCCTTTTGTGTATAGGCTTTGCAACCACAGCCACCCATAGTGCAGCGCCAGCGCACTACGCCCGAGCGCATCGTGTGCGCCGCGTAAAAGCTGCGACCGCGCACCCACAGCCGCGGCCGCCCGCCCGGGCCCACGCACAAGCGCACGAACTTGTTGTCCTCTATCAAACAACCACACAACGTTCAATCAAATGTCTGATCATTAATTCAAGCGATTGTCAGCAACATGCAACAAACCCAATGTTAGAAACCTCGCAAAATATCAGAAAAATATTAACATTGAAAAATGTGAAAATGTTATATTTGATAATTTGTTAAGCAAACGATAACAAACATGGATTGGACAAATACAAAAATAATATAACTGTACACGTATGTATAGTTAATAGTAAATAATTAGTTTAATCCGACGTGTATTGTAGCTAAGCTCCAACGTAAAACCGTTTATTTACCCTTGGGCATAGTTTATTTATTGCTTAATTAGTACAACAAGAGATTTATTGCTAACTCACACCATTTCGTTAGTTTTCAAGTTAATATTATACATTATATAATTATTAATTAATACATTAATATCAATTTAGTTACAATAAATTACATTTATACACAATGAGATCAACTTGACTAGATTGATTTTCTACTTGTACAGACTAAAATATACAATGGCTTATTTGTGCACATTGCTCGAAACAAATACAAGCTAACTTCTTATACTATCAGTCCACGAACACCCGCCTTCTTGCTCACTCCTTTACCTTCAACATGACCTACTTAAGGTTAATTGTTAATGATGGAATGAGTACTGAGTACACTCAATAAATAATTATGATTTTAAAGGAGCATGCATGCATGTTAGATTCGACGAGAACCAATGGTTAATTAGACACCATAATGTGTTGGAGCTACAATTAGTTACGTGCTAACTAGGAGATTAGTGGAAGATACATAAATATTACTCGTCAAGGACAGCCTTTGCTTGAGCAGCGAAGTTCGCATTAGTAAAACCGCGATTCGAGTTTCTTTCGCGTTCCCCCTGGCCCCCTGCAGGAGGTTCATGCGAATGCACGTTGCTGAGGGCGAAGATTCTGTCGTGCAGCGTATGTGCATACGCACGACAGGTCCGCCGCGTACATCGCCATCGCACCTTATTCTTCTCCGGAAACACTTTCTCCGCGTAAAAGGAGAAACCATCGAGCCGCATATGTCGTCTGCCGCGGTTCGATATCACGAATTCAACTGCAAAACATGACCAATATCATTATCAGCTGTAATTCTGCAGTCTCACTACATCATGCACGTTACAATGCAAACTGATGTTATTATTAGTCCTGGTTAAAATATGATATACACCAGCGGTGTTTGAATAGTAGTGGACAGTTGTGGCGCTGTTTTTTACCCTACGAAGTTTGTTCAATGAAGAAATGAAAAACGGATAAAATGAAAAAAACAATGAAAATGTGCTTAGACTTATTGAGCTTATTCAAGCTAATGTACAAGCTCATGGCACACAAATGTTTTTCTTTAAATAACACACGAACACACCTGATACCTCGTGGAAAGCCAGAATTTAATTTGTTATGAACCGTTTTAAATTTAAATTTAGTTTACGTTTAGATCAGTTTTGAATCACTAACAAAAAATAAAAGATGACAATGAGTAATTAGCAGTAGATTATAGCCAATTATTTATTTCTAAGCAATGTTAATTGTTTGCTGCAATAGTTTCGATGAGACTCTCAATGCGCGCATGTTCGTCGATGACAGGTGCATGGCGATCATGCGTGTGGCTGCCTGCCCGTGCCACGAGCCTGCCGTCCGTGGTGAGAGCCCTGGCGGGACAGCCTTGTGCACGGCTCCGGCACGTCCAGTAGACGCGAGGACCACGACGCTTGCGTGCTATAAACCCGAACCCGTCGACCAGCAAGGAAGGTGCCCCTCGGCGCGTTACAGTGTAACACACCTGCGCCTCGCCAGTTCCTGTCCCATTCAATATTAATCCACAACTAAACAACGTCAACAATCAATCTGCCGTTTTGTGCACATGTCTTAACATTGGGCACACTGGCAAAAGCATTGTTTGTAATTAAAGGAAACAAAGATTCAGTTTCATTTATTTATTGAAATCTTATCAGAATCACAATTACCTTATTATTTGATCACAATATTCAGACAAAACTAGAAAATTGATAATCGTTTACAATACTATATGAATTTTAATAATTCATTAACGTTCTATACTAGAATCACATCCATCCATCTACGCATTCAAAATCTAACTACAGTTCCAGATAGTTAAACTATAGGCAGATACAACATTACAGCTAAAAAACTGTACGTTATGTGCGCACAGTTCGCGTATAAAAAGAATCAAGATAAAATATTCGTACACTTATTACAAATGTATAATAAGTACAGCATTGATTACAAACGGAATTACGTTTTCAAGTCAGTAAAGTTGAAACGATGAACCAACAGAAGACAAAGTATGGCATTAAAATTCAAATTAGGCCTAATAAAATACTAACGCACACACAAAATGACACATTTAATTTATTGCTTGTATTACAAAACAGCTATGTAATTCCTCACACAGTAGGACAGGTAACTACTTCACCTAATTCATACTTTCGCGATATTTTTGACATGTGGTTCTCAGCATGATTATGTACAGGGTTGGTTATTCTCAAAACATTATTTTTAGATGTTATTCTGGCACGACAGCGTTTGCCATAGTCCATACACCTCCAAAAAGTCCGACCACTACGTACACTATCAGTCACAAATATATACGGTTCATAGATCAACTGCAAATGACCACTTTTCGTCTGAATAAAATGTAGATCACTCTTTATATTGCTGTTTAATGCGCCCATAACTGAAAGAAATTGTTTAATTAGTATAATCGTAAATATTACATACACTAATGGTAATCTTAGACATATTGTACGAAAATAAAACACAGAGATTTATTTTTATTTTATTTATTTATTGATAAAATAAACAATATATTATGTACAGTAAGTACATACTTGTATATCAATAAAACACACATTTTTATGAAAGTAACTTTTTTATATTTAAAATACTTTATAAGATCATTTAATTGATGATCAGATGGACCAGCCTTTTGTCATTTAGCCTGATTAATCATAAGCCCAAAAAATAAAGAGAATTTAGAAATTGATATTTCTAGTTACAGTGATGGTGCTATGGCTATGGAGGACTATGGCTGCCACATCAAGCTCATTAATTGAGTAAAATATACATCATAGTTTAATTTTATGTAACTATGACAAAAATGGAACAAATATAATCATGAGGGTTGGTCAAGTTGACAAAGTGATGAATAATAGACATGTAAGTAAATATTATAACTGCTAAGTATTTTATCTGTGTATTATTTTAGATACTCATTCATGTCATGTAACTAAAGTTATTGTGAAAATGGATGTAAATAACTTTACTAAAACTATTACTCTATAAGATTACACATAGTTAACTTAGGATGCATAGTTACTAAAACTATTCACTGCAACTTTATGAGACAAATACAAAATACACCATGTCTCGCTTAAATCTATGTTCTGGCAAACAATGGATTATTGTATTATTACATATTTAATCATAGCTAATGACATAATTGAGGTAGCACCAGCGGAACCCAGGCTCCTGGCTTATTTACTAGAATAACTGCACTGAACTGTGAGTAACGGTGTTTCAAGGCATGTTGTCGAGCTAATTATCTATTTAAGAAATGAAATACGTAAACATAGAACCACTAGCTAGCCTCGCACCGGTTCATC